ATACCCTGTAGGGCAGAGCTCTGAACCTGCAGAGCTGCCTGTGGTAACTCCAAGCATTATACTACATGCCAAGGGGAGCACCTACAAAGCATGGTCCAGTGGTGAAAGGACCTTTGCATGCCAGTGCTGTATCTTCCATGTGGAATGGTCTGGGTACGACCCCCAAGATGCTTCTGAGAAGTCAACAAACCTGAAAGCTGCAAAATACCTGCAGTGTCTATGGTGCAGCCAGGTCTTGACAAAAAATCACCATGGAAAATCATCTAGAAAAGAAAAAACCCAGATAAGAAGATGAGCTTCTCTCAGTAGAGAGAAGAGGTTGATCACCTAAGGACACTAGTGAAAAAATTGAGCCTAGCTGGGAGGGGGAGGGGGGATGTCCCAGCAGCATTTTTGGCAGTATCCACTCACCTGAAGGTAGCTTCCTGTAATCCAGTTGTAAGGATTTAAAGCCTGTGCCTTGTACTGTACAATCTGGATAAGCAGGAATTCTTAAAGCAGAACTTCACCTTAAAGGGGAAGTTACACTTATGCCCTCCTCCTCCCCACTCTTCTATTTTTGACACCCTTTTTTTTGGGGGGGGGGGCAATCCCACTTCCTGCTGGATTGCTGTTCCAGATCCACCAGACGTTCACCTTCCCCCCCCACCCACAACCTTCTGGGACACATCACAGGTCCCAGTCCCAGACAGCTGCAGAGCCATTCACAAAGCACAGTGCGGCTCACTGTCAGCAGTAAATATGCTGGTGCCAAGGACCCAAAGCCTGGCAAAGAACCAGTTTGGGTGAGGATGGTGCTGGATCCCTCTGAGAGTCCTTTTGTTAGAGGTCAGAAGCTGCAGTATCTGTAGCTACTGACTTATTTGATCAACAGGTTGAAGAATCACTTTAAAGCAGAGTATGTCTCCTAGCCAACATTATACCAATAACACCGTCAAGATCATTGTTATTCACCAGAACAGCAATGTATATTTCTGCCCATGTGCACATCATAATTACTTGCAAACTGGTTAGTTCCCTTTTTTCTCTCCCCCGATTCCGACTGCGGCCATGGAGGATGTGGGCAGCTAGAGCTCCATTTTCTGGATTTCTTGCAGCTGGCTGCCCAGCATGCTCCTCCTGATCTCGCGCCTGGGCAGTAATAACACTGCAAGGCACCCTTTGTTGCTTTGTCTCACAATTGTGCCCACCCAAAGACTACTGGGTTTAATGACATAGATATCCCAGGAGTCTTCGGGCCAGACTGTTTGACTTTTGTTTAAAGGAATACACATCTTGTTTTTAATGGATTCATCAAGTCCTCCATGTTAATTATTCTCCCTTTCAAGATCAAAATTATTTTCCAGTTTAAGTCATGTGTAATAAAACAACATTTCTCCCTTAATTGTGCCCATCTGAGTTTTTATAATAAAATAGTTTTTGTAATAGAAGAGCCATATTCTTGCACTAGTTAAAACATCTCTCCGTGTAGGGTTACTTCTCACCTTGCAATATCAGAGGCACGTAAAGAAGCATACCGTATATACAGTTAGGTCCATATATATTTGGACACAGGCACAATTTTAGTTTTTTTCAGGTATTGACCAAAACATATTCAAGCTATAGTTCTATAATGGATATGGGCTGAATGTGCACACTTTCAGGTTTAATTTGAGGGTATGTACATCCAAATTGGAGGAAGGGTTTAGGAATTACAGCTCTTAAGAGTAGCCATCCCCCCTTTTTCAAGGGGCCAAAAGTAATTGGACAATTGAATATAATCATAAATAAAATGTTCATTTTTAATATTTTGTTGAGAAATCTTTACTGGCAATGACTGCCTGAAGTCTGGAACCCATGAACATTACCAAAGACTGGGTTTCCTCCTTTCTGATGCTTTGCCAGGCTGAAAAAAACTAAAATTGTGCCTTTGTCCAAATATATATATATGGACCTAACTGTATTTACTATGTTTTGTGAGTCACCCATCCCCTTAGGAGAGCTCTGGTCTATCAGAATGAACTTAGCCTGTCGAACCCATGGCGGAGAGGGAGATCAAGTTTGTAGGTTGAGTTGCCAACGGACTCCATCATGAACTGCCTCCTTCCCTTATCCAAGGGAAAATCGATCCAAACCTGATCACAACCTCCTTTCTCTGCCCAGGTTTTCCAATATTTGGCATTCTCATATAATTGTGATGATTTCACTGATGTGCACACATCTTCCTTTTGTTTTGTTTTTTTTGCATTTATTCCAGCAACCAATTAATTCACTGTCAAGTAATGATAAAAAGAAAAATGTGGGTCTCTAACAGACAGGCTCACACATAGACCAAAATATTGATGGTAATATGCACCTTTTCATTCTCCTCCTTCAGAATAAAAATAATAATACATAAGCAAGGTAATATGCAACAGACAATTGAAATCCATTGGCAGCTCCTAATGTTGCCAGTGAACACTGCATAAGTGATCCAAAGCTACAACAAAAGTACCAAACTCATCACGATAGATTGAACAGGGAGATGGGACACTACATCACTTCCTTTAGCTACACCACTCAGGGCACACACCCTTTGGGTAGTAGCAGGGGCGGACTGACCATTCAAGCACTTGGGCACTACCCGAGGCCCGGGGTCAGTAGGGGGCCCCATGAGATGCCCCTGGTACCTTGAATTGGCTTTTTCATAGGCTTTTTTGGGTGTGGGCGGGCGAGGACACAGGGGCCCCATGATCCCCTATTGCCCGGGGGCCCCATGAGTTATCAGTCCACCCCTGGGTAGTACTTAAACACTCTGTAGATCTAGCTTAATGGACCTCATTTTTGTGGGATAATAGATTCGGATTATGGTCGGTTCTGTATACATGAGTATGGCAGTATGTTACGAAAATATGAGATTGTAGAGGGCAAGGAAATGTGATCTAGATTTAGGGCCTGTACAGTTGTGCTCAAAAGTTTGCATACCCTTTGAGAATTATATACAGTATGTACCATTTTTAAAGAAAACATGATTAAGCAAGCAAAAACACATTTCTTTTATTTCTTATGGAATTCATATTCAACTGTAAGTCATAACAGAATGGCACAATCATAAAACTAAACATAGCAACAAGTAAACAAATGAAGTGACCACTGTTAAAAAGTCTGCATATTCTTTGCCCCCTTTAGCATCAATGACAGCATGCAGTCTTTTGTAAGAGTTGTCTATGAGGCCCTGAATTCTTGCAGGTGGTATAGCTGCCCATTGGTCTTGGCAAAGTGCCTCCAGGTCATGCAAAGTCTTTGGCTGTCATGAACCACACGTCTGAGATCTCCCCAGAGTGGCTACATGATATTAAGGTCAGGAGACTGATGACCACTCTAGAACCTTCATATTTTTCTGCTGTAGCCACTGGAGGGTCAACTTGCTCCTGTGTTTGGGGCCATTACCATGCTGGAAAGTCCAAGAGCGTCCCATGCGCAGCTTTCGAGCAGAAGAATGCAAATTGTCTGCCAGTATGCTCTGATAACATGCTGCATTCATCTTACCATCAATTTTCACAAGATTCCCCATGCCTTTAGAGCTCACAAACCCCGAAATCATCAGTGAGCCACCACCAAGCTTCACAGTGGAGATGGTATTCTTGTTGTTATAGGCCTTGTTGACCCCTCTCCAAACACAGTGCTTACAGTTCTGACCATAAAGTATTGGTTTTTTTTTTGTCTTGTCTTGTCCCTGCAGATTACAGTGTGCCAGAAGCTGTATGCGTCAAGGTGTTGTTGGGCATATTGTAGCCAGGCTTTTTTTGTGGCATTGGAGCAGTAAAGGCTTCTTTATGGCAACTCAACCATGCAGCTCATTTTTGTTCAAATATCGTTGTATTGTGGTCCTTGAAACAACCATGCCATCTTTTTCTAGAACAGCCTGCATTTCTAGGTTACCTGTGGGTTTTTTCCTTGTATCCCGAACAACTCTTCTGGCACTTGTGACTGCAATCTTTCTTGGTCTACCTGACCTTGGCATCAAGAGATCTCCAAATTTTCCACTTCTTAATAAGTGAAAAGTACTGACTGACATATTCAAGGCTTTGGATATCTTTTATATCCTTTTACATCTTTTATAAAGCTCTATTACCTTGTTACGCAAGTCATTTGACAGTTCTGTTCTGCTCCCCATGGCTCAGTATCTAAGCCTGCTTAGTAAATCCACATGAGAGCTAACAAACTCATTGACTATTTATACACAGACACTAATTGCAATTTAAAAAGCCACAGATGTTGAAAATTAACCTCTATTTTCCATTTTAATCCCGTGTGTGTGTCACCTTGTGTGTTTGTACCAAGGCCAAACATTCCAGGGTATGTAAACTTTTAATAATGGCCATGTGCGTGATTTCTGTTATCATTATGATTTAAAAAGGAGCCAAAACAACTATGTGACAATAAATGGTTTCATATGATCACTGTCTTTAAATAAAAGAAAAATGTTTTTGGCATGATCAGCCATATTTTCAAAAACTTTTGAAGGCAAATGTATAAACCAATTAGCCTGGAAGAAAATCTCAAACTGATTTTTGAAGACACACTTTACACATACTGTGAAATTATCATTTAATAGCTAAAAAACTAAAATTGTTATAAATATTTGTTTGTACCATCATGCAGTTAGCATCAGAAATATCATAACCCTTCCTCAGGATACAATGTATTAGATTACATTTTACAAAAATCTGACAGCAGATGTTGATTTTAAAGGTTCATACAGTTGTAGCAATATGTGGTCCCTTTTTAAATATTTTCTTCCTTAAATACAAAATTGTCCATCAAGTACAAAATGTCTAGATATTTTCTCCTTTACAACCGTAGTGAAATCACATGTAGGAGGTAGAAGTGATGGTAACGAGTACTGCATGAGGTCCTGAGATGTGGTTTGAAAGTCCAGAAGTAATTTGTAGTACTATGTGAAACTCTTGTCCAGATTATAAATAAGTATTAGGAAAGCAAGTACAAATAGTAAGGGAGCAATCAGTAAACATGGCTTCTCAGGATTCAGTGCTAAACCCGGTTGGGTTTAAGGACTGCCACCCGCCATAAATCTTCACCTGTAAAGAAAATAAATAAATACATAAATTAAAAAGAGACATTTTATCTCTTGGAAGAATAATATTCAGTTAAACATCTGGTAGGAGTCATAATGTCCATACAGTTGAGCATGACCAACTACTACTGGATATACCATGGCCTGGATAAATAACCTTCACAGACAGACATTCAGTTACAAAGCAGTGTTGAAATTACAAATTTATCTAGCACGGTTTTAGATGTCAGAATTGGCTTCTTGACAAGTCTATGTATGCGGCAACTGTTACACTTGACGAACAGTAATCCAATAAGTCATAGGGACATTCTAGTCAATGTACTAACTAAATTGTTGTCATGGCCTAACTTTTCACCTGTTTCCTGCTTGAGGAAAAATCAGAATTGGGGTAGAGAAATACATCAGATGGTTCCGGCCATCAGTAAACATTTGGTAGTCATTCACCCAATTCCATAATGCCATATCAATCAACTAGGGGCAGGTGTAACCGCTAAATTGGAGATCAGTTTCCTCTAAATCAGGATAGTACAACAGCCTTTCTCAATCAGGGTGCTGCATCACCCTGGGGTGCTGTCTGGGGTCTTCAGGGGTTCCTTGGCAAAAATGACTAAAAATTGATCCAAATTGCCCAAAAAATTGGCAACAAGCTGGCAGAGTGGATCAAGCTTGCATTTTTTTACACTTTTTTTTCTTCTTTTGTGGAGCATTACAATCTTGGGTACTATGTGGGCCAGCTGCAGATGCCCAACAACCAGAGAAGCCATTGGTTGAAAAGGAGCATGTTGGGTACCTTCCCCACTCTATCAGCACTGGGGTCACATTAGCTGTGCAAGGAAGATAAACTGTGGGAGAAGAGAAAAACCTGAACACTAGTCAGTTCCGGTATCCAAAGATATATTTGCTTTGTAAGAATCACCTCTGATGTTGGGGATCCTACATGTGTGGATGCTGCTGCATTATGTAAAGCTATTAGTTTAACCTCTTCATGCCGGCCGCACACAAATGTGCGGCCTCCCGGCGTCTGGGCCTAGACGTTCAGCGCACATTTGTGTGCAATTAAGAAAAACATATGTGCTGAGTGCGCGCTCCCAGCACACATGTCCAGTACTCACGGAAAGGTCCCGATCTTCTCTTTCGATCGGGACCTTTCCCGATCATGTGACCACCGTGACAGCGAATCACGGCGGTCACATGACCCAAACACCCCACCCCCGCCTCCCCGCTTCTGAAAGCCTTAAAGGGTCAAAAGGCGCAGGCGCCAAGGGGTTAATTTACATTAGAATTTCAGATTGGGGTGCCTCGAGTGCATAATTTAAAAGGGTGCCTTGACTGAAAACAAACAAAAAAAAAAGTTAAAAAAACATTGCCATCAGAAGCCATGTTGCCTTTCCCATGGTCAGTTTTGAAAAGTACCAGCCATTACAGACTCCTGCTATACGTTTCCATACCTTGGACTATTGGCTAAATAAAAAACTTGGCCAAAGTACAAAAGTAAAAAAAGCCAAATTCTTAAGTTCATATTTCAAAACACCTTGGTCTAAATTAAATGTTTTATTTAAAAATATCACCGCAGAAAATCCTCATTCAGTACCAATAAAAAAACTGTATTTTATTTTCATTTGCAGATTTTTTGTTTTTAACTTACACATTCTGTCCAAGCCAAATTCTGCCTTCCAGCCAAGGTCCTCTTTAGCCAGGGTTGGATCTGCATAGCATGTAGCAACATGACAAAAAAAAAAAACCGTCCATTGCTTCTTGGTATATGCTATTTTATATGGAATCTTTGACAATATAAAAACATAAAACCACATTGCGTTAATTCTGGTACACACACACACACACACACACACACACAGTATATGTACATTTTATTTATTTAAATTTATGGGGGATAAAGAAGATGCCCAAAAATTATACAAATAAAAGTGCAGCTTTTGCTGCATTAATCCAATGGCTATATAACCACAGTGCCTTCTACTCATATACAATGATGAGAGAGCGGTGCTAAATTCATCACATCAGTGACACTCTCTGCTTCATTGAGGTTCGCCCACTGCCTGTGAAAACAGAGGACCCTGCATCTCACATGATTGGCCTGAAAATATCTGAAAAAGCAAAAAATACAGCCAGGGAAAAGGCCTGGAAATACTGTAAGTATTAGATATGTGTATGGATTAGCCATCCTGAACAGATCAAGGAATAAAAGGCGAGGAGAGTTTAGCCTTAACGTATAATATAGCATATTAGACTACACACAGACCAACCTTTTTGCCTGATGCTCTTTCCATGGCTGTCACCATCTGCAATACAGAGTATCCTACGCCAGTGCCCAGATTATATACCTGCAAAGCATAAACCAGATTTAGTAAATAACTATATGCAACTTTTCAATTTAAAAGGATGCTTTGCTGCGGTTTCAAAATGAACAACTGTTTCAAGGCAGTAGATTATGCAGACTAATAACTCATGATCTTGTGTATTTTTGGGGTTTTTGGGGAGCAATTCTAAATATGCCCATGGCCTTTTCACTGTCGGACCAATTTTTGGCATGAAAAGGACTTAAAAGAAAATCTAGAAAGCTTTCATTGTTTTAAGAGGAACTATAAAAGGGAATAGTGGTGGCTGAAAATCTAGAATGTTTTCATGGTTTTAGGAGGAACTATAAAAAGGGAACAGTGGTGGCTGAAAATCTAGAATGTTTTCATGGCTTTAAGAGGAACTATAAAAAGGGAACAGTGGTGGCTGAAAATCTAGAATGTTTTCATGGTTTTAAGAGGAACTATAAAAGGGAACAGTGGTGGCTGAAAATCTAGAATGTTTTCATGGTTTTAAGAGGAACTATAAAAGGGAACAGTGGTGGCTGAAAATCTAGAATGTTTTCATGGTTTTAAGAGGAACTATAAAAGGGAACAGTGGTGGCTGAAAATCTAGAATGTTTTCATGGCTTTAAGAGGAACTATAAAAGAGAACAGTGGTGGCTGAAAATCTAGAATGTTTTAATGGTTTTAAGAGGAACTATAAAAGGGAGACGTAGTGGCTGAAAATTTATGTTGTACAGTATTCACTCAACTGTACAGCTACAAATACAAGTAATGTAAGTGCACATAAAATGCAATATAATCTCTATTTTTTCTAAAATGTAAACGAGAAAAGACTGTGTTCAGTAAATAAATTCAAAATACATAAAGCCTTAAATTGCACATGCTGTCAGAAAACAACCATACCCAAAATTGATGATAAGTTCACCATGTTACAACCATATACAGGGTGTAGCATGTTACAAACGGACCAGCCCCCGCTCCTCCCCGCTGTGACTACTGTCAGGGATCTTCTCCTCCCTGCTAGCTGTCATAATGAATTCTGTAAAATGAATGAAAGAACTACAAGTCCTAACAACATTTGCAGCTGTCGGCTTGTAGTTCTCAATTAACTACCCACAGCACTGTGGTAGTTTATTGATTCTTCCTGTCAGTATATCAGCTTGCCCGTACATCCTGTACGGGCAAGCAGATATACTGACAGGTCTGATCGCTGGTGCAATGCTTCAGAGGCTCTTGCAACAAAAAATAATACATGCACATTTTTTAATCTGCATTTATTCTTTTTTGTAAAAAGGTGAACTTGCCCTTTAAAAATATCATCATATTAGGGTTTACTACACAGCGGCCCCAGATTTATTCTTCTTCCTCTGGTGTGTGTCATGCAAACAATGTGAGTTACACATACTGTACGTTATTTCCTTGAAGTTGAGTCCTAGGTGAGTGTACTTTAAAGTATGTGCATGAGTGGGTGAACCAGGGGTTCTTACTTTTTTTTTTATTTTTAACCCCTGACACCCATTGTGATAGAAATATTGGTATGATGGTTCCTCCTTATGGAGACCGCAGGGGTTTATTAAACCATTAAACCCCTAATGCCTTCCCTCACCAAGCTAACCTGAGCCAAACCGTCCCTTAGTAAAATGAACCAAAAAAAAAAAAAAAAAAAAAAAAAGAGGGTGGGGGCAGTTGTGGACTTTAGAGACACTGCAACAAAGATATCAAACTGTCCCTTACTCCACCGCCGACCAGGCTCAATAGGGAGGATCAGGGAAAGGACATTCCCTGATCATTTTGGCATCCACAACTAGATGCCCTGTTTTCTTTTTCATATGTTGCTGTCCTCAGTCAAATCTTATCTGGGTTTGGCCTGAGACCAAGCATAGAAAAAGACATTGTACACATTCTAACCACCTCAGAGGTCATCTGCGCTGTACATCTCCTGCATTTCTTTAGCCATTGTTTGCTCACTGCAAACCTTTGCTGGGTAACAGCTTCTCAATGTAACAAACTAGTGTCATGGGTCCCAGTCTCTTGTACTCCATGTAGCATCCTATTTTACAATACCCATTACATACTGCTTGTGGCACCTGTACCAATAACGTTTCAATATGTCCATACTCCGTACTTCCTGTATTCTTTTCTAGGGGAATAATCTCTTTGAAAATCCAATAAAAAATTTGGTAACAGAAATGCAACATGGAAGTGGAAACTCACCTTACAGCTACTACTGGTCTGCAGTTTAATGAGAGCAGCAATGTGACCCTTGGCCAGATCTACTATGTGAATGTAATCCCGAACCCCTGCAAATACATGTCCAAAATGCATAATAATCAGAATACAATACAACTTCTGGCTTTAGAAGGCAATGGTCATGTCTGCATTTTAGCTCTAAAATGGAGTACATGTGAAACACATATATACTGTAAGTCCTGTTTGCCAAAGGATTTCTATTTCTGTCCATCCACCCTGTGATTTATACACCTCTACCACATAGCATAGTTCTTCCCGACAGGGAAGGGGAACTGATTTTTCTCTGCTGTAATTTTCACTTACAGATCTCTACCCCACCCTAGGAGTGGGCAGTGAAAGGAGAAGAGACAAACTGATGAGTGTATCTCTCTGCCACTCTGCTCTCTCATCCCATCAGCTTTGTACTGCAACACAATTTACTGGCTGCTTTTCCCTCTCCTAATCTGAGTTCTGCTATACAAAGGATTGCATAGGGCCAATGCCAAGCCAAAATTCAGGTACTTTCACTATTTCTTTGAAATAATTGTATTTAAAATATATGTTAATGATTACGGAGCTGCATTCATTTGTGCCTTTCATATCTACCTCAAGTGCTACTAAACCCACAACAGTAAATTCAGTCTGTATATGCAGATAAGCATACATGTTACACTTACTTTGGAACCTAAGGAGTTAATCCTCTGCTTTGTGTAAAAAGGCTGTTTGATCCTGTCTGCTCTGCTCCTCCCCCTTCTTCCACAATCCCATATCCATCTGCTGACAAAATAGAGCCTTGGGGGCAAGCTGCACATGCTCAGTTTGGTGTGGATTGTTAAGAGTTTTTTTTTCTTGGGAGAGTGCATGTGATCAGCACAGGGCCAATCAGCACTGTCCAGACAGAGGATCAGGGGTCCTGCAGACTCACAGGACAATCAGGGGAGAATGAAAACTCCTCCTACAAGCTTTAAAATCAGTGCTCTGCTGAACACTGATAGAAGTCACAAGACTGCTCTAAATGCTGATGGTATTTAGCAGTTTATATTTACTAAAATAATTGCATTTCCATGTTCTGTGTACTATGGGAGACCAGATATAGTGAATGCAGGGTACTGGGTTTAGTAACACTTTAACTAATGTTAGGCTATTTATTCATTATAGTCAGATATTCAAATTGATTTTCTAATTCAAATTAGAAACAATTGACTGAAATCTAAAAATTTGTTACAAACTGCAAGTGAGTGGCACTATGGTTACATCCCCTCAGAAGGGAAATCCATGACCCTGCACTTACATATTTACTCAGTTTTCCTGACTAAATGAAGCTATGTATCATTTAAACTGAAAGACACAGGACATATTCTCTTGAAAAGTATTACTACAGGGACAGGATATAAATATCCTGGAGTTCCGGTTTCAAAAGTAATTTTTAATATTTTTAAATCTGCAGCATTCACGAAGAGAAAAAGATTGGTGATCCCACCATGAAGGTACTTGTTCAGGCACCTGCTGTTACAGGGTGACTGTCTACTAATTGTGCTATTGCATCATCATTCTATCACATGCCTCCCTGGTGAATAATGCAAGTGGTCATGTTGACACACTGTACAGACATGATCCACTGTTATCACTATCAGGAAGCCCATCCAGGGAATGAATGAAGTGCAGCCAATGTTGAAGTTAGTGCATGTAGACAGGAAGTGGCTGAAAGATACTAGAGGAGATCAGTAGCACCAAGAAAAAAATATATATATACACATTGATTAAAAATTGTTCCTTTAATTTTTTTGAGCAGAGTATAGCATGAAGTCAATTAAACTTCTGGGATATTGATCTGGTCAGTTAAGTAGCAGAGGGGTTTGTTAATCAGTTTCAGCTGCTTTGGTGTTAATGAAATTAACAGATGCACTAGATGGGCAACAATGAGACAACCCCCAAAACAGGAATGGTTTTACAAATGGAGGCCACTGACATTTTTCCCTACTCATCTTTTCTGTTTTTCACTAGTTTTGCACTTGGCTAGGGTTAGTGTCACTACTGGTAGCATGAGGCAATACCTGGACCCTACAGAGGTTGCACAGGCAGTCCAATTCCTCCAGGATGGCACATCAATACGTGCCAATGCCAGAAACTTTGCTGTGTCTCCCAGCACAGTCTCTCAAGAGCATGGAGGAGATTCCAGGAGACAGGCAGTTACTCTAGGAGAGCTGGACAGGGCCATAGAAGGTCCTTAACCCATCAGCAAGACTGGTCTCTGCTCCTTTGTGCAAGGAGGAACAGGATGAGCACTGCCAGAGCCCTACAAAATGACCTCCAGCAGGACACTGGTGTGAATATCTCTGACCAATCAGAAACTGACTTCATGAGGGTGGTCTGAGGGCCCGATGTCCTCTAGTGGGCCCTGTGCTCACTGTCCAGCACCATAGAGCTCAATTGGCATTTGCCATTGAACACCAGAATTGGCAGGTCCGCCACTGGCGCCCTGTGCTTTTCACAGATGAGAGCAGGTTCACCCTTAGCACATGTGACAGGGTCTGGAGAAGCTGTGGAGAACGATATGCTGCCTGTAACATTGTTCAGCATGACTGCTTTGGTGGTGAGTCAATGATGGTCTGGGGAGGCATATCCATGGAGGGACACACAGACCTCTACAGGCTAGACAACGGCACCCTGACTACCATTAGGTATCGGGATGAAATCCTTGGACCCATTGTCAGACCCTACGCTGGTGCAGTGGGTCCTGGGTTCCTCTTGGTGCACGACAATGCCTGGCCTCATGTGGCGAGAGTATGCTTGCAGTTCCTGGAGGATGAAGTAATTGATACCACTGAATGGCCCCTACACTCGACTGACCTAAATTCAATAGAACACCTCTGGGATATCATGTTTCGGTCCATCTGACACCGCCAGGTTGCACCTCATACTGTCCAGGAGCTCAGTGATTCCCTGGTCCAGATCTGGGAGGAAATACCCTAGGATACCATCCATCGTCTCATTAGCAGCATGTCCCAACATTGTCAGGCACGCATACAAGCACGTGGGGGCCATACAAATTACTGAGTACCATTCTGAGTTGCTGCAATGAAATTTCAGCAAAAATGGACTAGCCTTTTGCATCATTTTTTTACTTTGATTTTCAGGGTGTCTTTGAATTCAGTCCTCTCTGTAGGTTGATAATTTTAATTTCCATCAAACGATGGGGCATCCTTACATTCCTCACACATTACCCAGTCTATATCAGTATAGATAGCCAGCATGATATTTTTCCGCACTGAGATCTGATGTGTTTTCAAAGTGTTCCTTTATTTTTTTTTGAGCAGTGTACGTATATAATAATAATAAAAACTATTTTTATTATTGTTATTAATAAAAAAACGTTTTATTAAAAAGGCAATTCATAATGCACCATGCTTTAGCAAACGAAGTGTCACCCAGTTAGGATTTAGATTTTTTTTGCTCTTTTTTCCTACCAACTGAAAACTACAGACAAATAAATGTAGTCTAATCCACTGTGCTTACCTGTCCCATCTGGTGTATTGTAGTCATTTCCAAAGACATTCAGATGTTCCCGTCTTCCAACAGCAACCTGAAAAATGCACAAAATGGGAGTTATGCCTATTTAATTCCAGCTTCTTTGCAGACTGAACAAACAAGAATGGAGCCACTAGACTTCCAAAAGTCCAGAGTATAAATATTATATGATACAGGCAAAGTCCACCTGCTCTTACTCTTTTCACTTCCTCAGGAGCTTAGTCATGACTAAGTTCCTAATGTAGTACAATGCCTGAGAAAAGCAGGTGGATTTTCCCTGTATTGGATGATATTATTAAATATACCCTGGAAGTTCAGCGTCTCCATCCTTGTTTGTTTGCCCCTGATGTTAGCAGATCACAGACCGTCCTGGAGCCTGCATCCTTTGGTCAGTGGAGCAGTGAGGGAAGGCTAGTATCAAAGTGCTTGGGATGATTTTTAAGAGCGATACATAGTATATCTTAAAATACATATAAGATCTTATAACTGATATTTAACATTGTACTTTATACTTATAAACTGCTACTGTGTAGAAATCATTTAAAATATTAGACTTTTCACCTGCAGGGCATATTGGTATTGAACACATATCTATTAGTTTATTGTACACAGCCGTTGCTGAAATCACTGGAACATCGGTATGGCTGGTAATCCATAGTCCAACAACTCACACTATATACATTTACATTGTATACAAACCTGTGAGACGTACGGCATCAGATTATTTGGAATTCCCTGAGGATCTTCTCCAATACGACCAGATATGTGGGCTCCAATGGGGTTAAAATACCTCAAGAGAATGGCACTCCATTCCTAGAATACATAGACCACATTGTTTCACCCATTGAAAATAAACCACACAATTTGTACACTGAAGTCAATTTTAATTTTATATTCCGAAAGCATAGGAGGCTTTAGATCAACATTTCAAAAAGGAGAGTTTAGGCATGGCAAGTGTTTTATATTGTCAGTACAAGTTTCCTTTAAAAAACTGAACTCCAGGGAAAAAATATATTATATATATATATATATCTTATTATTATAATACAGGATTTATATAGTGCCAACAGTTTACGCAGCGCTTTACAGAATAAGGGCCAACAGTACAATTACAAATTAATATAAGAGAGATCAGATGGTCTGCTTGAGCACCTGCTTGTTAGAGCTTACAATCTAAGGCTAGGTTCACATATGTGCGGGTGGTGCCGCTGCAGATCCACCCGTAAATCCATGCAGCCGCACCATCCGCACAGAGAAATGCGGACCCGCTGGTAGGTAACATTAGTTCTAATGGCACATCGCCCGCACTGGAAAAAAAAACGAACCATACTGGAAGTGCAGGGACTTCATTCTTGCATATCATGGGGCACGGGAGTCTACTCAAATGAATGGGCTCTCAATCCCATGAAAAACGTGGCCCACACAGCCGCATACACGTGAACCGGGGCTAAAAGCATATAGTAACATCTCTGTGCTGCACATAGCACAGAGAGCAGAGCTGTGGGAAGGACTAAGCAGACTACAACTACTACAGACTGTCTGCAGAAAACTAGAGGAGGGGGTGGATACAAGACCAATCACCTTGTGAAAGGAAAGAGCAGCAGTGATTGGTCTTTATCACAAAAATGCCCTGCACAAGGCAAACAAACATTCATGCAGAAGTACTGCTAAGATTTGGAAGAACTACACAAAGTCCACCAAGATTCAGGTAAGAATGCACATGACAATAGTTGATAAACCTTTGATTGAACTCTGAGATTATCACTCACCTCATCAGCTTTGCACTGATCCATGATCATTTCCTCAATGAAATATTTTGTTTTTCCATATGGATTTGTGCATCCACCAACTGGGTGCTTTTCATCTAACGGAAGATACTTGGGATCACCATAGACTGTGGCAGAGCTGCTGAACACAATTTTCTTTACACCATGAGTATTCATTATCTGGAAGCAGAATACAAAGAATTAAACAACTTAGTGTCCCTTAAGAACTTAAACACTGGTCATTTTGCAATACGTAAGTATTCAGGACATGGCGACTGTTCTACCACAGCATCATGTCTCCATGTCTTGTGTCATATCCGCAATATCTGACCACTTCTTGTATTACATCCACAGTCTCTGACCACCTCTTCTATTATATCCACAGTCTGACCATTTCTTGTATCATGTCTGCAGTCTTTGACCATCTCTTGTATCATCCCCATAGTCTGACCATATCCTCTTGTGTGTCTGATGTCCACCAAATCTTATGTGCCAACCTTTGATAATGTTGAGGGATCACACTTGAGGCTCCCCACATCAAAAATGTTGACTACCACCGCTCTAACATCTGCCAAAAAATGAACTATTATTTTTCAGGAGGACTGACCCTTTAATACTACAATGCTTGTGATTCACTCAGTATTACAGACCACAAACTAACAATTCTTGATTACTAAAATCAGTAAGACTGAATAATAGGGACCTACATTTTATATCAAATTTTGGAACAAAGTTGAAATAAATCATCTTCAGTTGTTTACTGGACATAATGTCTAATAGTACACATGACTTAAATTACATTTCTGCTCTAACAGACAGATGCTTGCTAATGCAAAACACTCACCTCCAAGAGTTGGATTGTGCCAGTAAGATTCACCTTATAATACATCAATGGCTTCTCCACAGACTCTCCAACGGCTTTCAGGCCAGCAAAATGCATAACAGCAGAGAACTTGTGCTGGAGAGAGGATAAAGTACACATTAAATTAACAATAAGATTGTAAGCTCTCTGAAGCAGGGCCCTTCTAATCCTCTTGTATTGAATTGTATTGTAACTGAACTGTCTCACTTTATAATATTAAGTGCTGCCCAATCTGTTGGAGCTGTATAAATCCTAGAATAAGAATAATAATAATAAAGTAATTTTTCTGTACAAGTTTTCAAGGTAGTCTCAAAGAAATACAAATTTTTCATCAGGGAAAAAAAATAACAAAAAAATATTATGAAACTCATATATCTTAAAGAGACTGTCCTGTCACATATGCAATAATGAAACTACATGTGCTCAGGCATGGTCCCCCATTGGCTGAAAGAGGCTGTTTGAGATGGGGGGGAAACAAAAAAAGTAAAAAGAATAACATACCAACTATTTATAGAATCTGGAGCATCTGTGCCTATTTATAGTAGCCAATCAGCCTCTATCTTCAGCTTGTTCAGTTAAGATTTGAAAATACTAGAAGCAGATCGGTTGCCATATGCAACTGCTCCAGATTCTGGCTGCTCCAGTCTACGTATATTCCCCTCACAGTGCTTTAGATACTACATGTCATCTAGTAAACGTTTTGATCTACTGTAAACACTGATGAATAAAAATGTACCTTGTCAAACAAACTGTTCAGGGCAGCCCGGTCTAGCAAATCCACCTCCTCAAACTCAATCTTCTTGTTGCCCACAATTTCTCGCACTCTCTGTAGACTTTCAGGAAGACCATTGACCCCTTGCAGGAATTAAGAGAGTGATTACTTCCAGACAGTCATTTATTACAGCCTGGTTACAACTTCCAAGTAACTCCAGTATCAAATGAAAAACTGCTGTAGCATATATTTCTTAAAGACAAACTATCTGCATGATATTCTATAATCATTAAGAGTAATGAAAATCATTACATATTTAGAACTAGGATGAGGTACAGCTTCCCTTCAAAAAAAAAAAAAAAAAAAAAAAAAAAAAAAGGTTCTTTTTTTTTTTTCCCCCCATTGGTGGTATTTTGCAGTTTTACTTTTTTTTTGTGTGTTTTCTTTTATGTTGGTGGGAACTTTTTATATTTATTTATAATCTTGGGTGCTCATAGCGAAGTATTTATTTGTTAATGACCCGTTCTTGCAGCTGTCTTTTAAAAGAAATAAGCTAGGTGCCAGAACTTTGTGCACCTAACTACTTCACATTATATCACAAATTCACAGCACCCTTCTTAATCCCCATAAATAAAATAAAATGTAGGAGTATGACTGTTAAATCTATTATCTCTGATTAAGACAGCCCTGCTGCCAGCCAATTTTGCACCGATGTATAGTCTTCAGTATCATAATTCGTATAGTAAAACCCCAGTTCCTGCTTTTTGTCTGTAGGAAATTTAGGCCTAGCTTTGCTTCTTAAAAATGGTCCTGCTGTTAGCCAATTTTAGGCTACTGTATTAATTATGCGCTCTTAATTAATGTAGTAAAACACCTGCCTGTGGCCTATTATCACTGAATAAATTGCCCTGCTACTGGTTGATTGTTCACTGCTGTATCCGCTGCATTATCTTCATTCTTGTAGTAAAGCCCCAGTCTGTGCTCTCTCTCTCTAGTAAGTTTTCTATTTAACTGCCTCCCGCCCGCCATATAAGGTAATGACGGGCGCAAGATGGTTCTCTAGTTCTGGGAGGACGCCGTATGACGTCCTCCCAGTCTAACCATGCATGCGCGGCTCCAGGAGCGTGCAGCACAGCGATCGGTGGTGCGCCGTGTCCCTTGGACACATCAGATCACCGATCAAAGGAAACAGCTGAAGATGTCGGCTCAGTCATGTGATCAGCTGTGTCCAATCACAGCTGATCACATGTACTGTAAATAGAGAAATGCCAGTTATTGGCATTTCTCTCCTCACGAGCTGTTACGCTGACAGCTCGAGAGGAGAGGAGAGCCGGTAATTGGCATTCCTTGGAGGGGACATCTACACTGATCATCAGGGCACTGATGATCAGTGTAGCCCCAGCAGTGCCAGCTGTCATTGCCCATCAATGCCAGCTGTCATTGCCCATCAATGCCACCTGCCAGTGTCCATCAATGCCTCATCAATGCCACATATCAGTGCCTACCAGTGCACATCAATGCCACATATCAGTGCCCGTATGAGCTGCCTTTCAGTGCCACCTATCAGTGCCACCTATCAGTGCCATAAATGAGTGCTGCTTTTCAGTGCCCATAGTGATGCCTGTCAATGCACATCAGTGCCACCTACTAGTGCCTCATCAGTGCCACCTATCAGTGTCCATCAGTGCAGCCTATCAGTACTCATCACTGCAGCCTCATTAGCGCACATCAATGAAGGAGAAAAATCAGCCATTTACAAAATTTTATAACAAAAACGAAGAAAAAACTTTTTTTTTTCAAAATTTTCAGTTGTTTTTGGTTTGTTTAGCAAAAAATAAAAATCCCAGAGGTGATTAAATATCATAAAAAGAAAGCTCTGTCTCAAAAAAAATGATAAAAATTTCAAATGCGTACAGTGTTGCATGACTGCGCAATTGCCATTCAAAGTGCGACAGCGCTGAAAGCTGAAAACTGGCCTGGGCAGGAAGGGGGTATAAGTGCCCTGTAGGCTAGTGGTTAAAATTGTCCTGCTGCTGTCAACTTTTACATGCAGAATCATCTGCAGTCTCTTAATGAATATAGTAAAATACCAGCCCCTACTCTTTACTGTTCTCTAGTACATTTGTGCCAGTTCTCCCTCACAAAAAAAAAAAAAAAAAAAAAAAAAAAAAGAAGAAGAAGAGGCCAATTTTACACTGCTCTATCATCTGCAGTCTCTTAATTTTCAATGAGAGCCTGACAGAAATTATCCAGTGGCAGGGTGATTTTACATCAGTGATAACAGGAAGAGTCACAGCAAACTACCGGCCATTTTTCTATCCTCCAGTCAAAACCAGTCTTCTTGAAAGTGGAACCTGTTTGGGATGATGCTGTATGTAACCCAAGAGAATAGTAAAAGCAAAAAAATATTCTACAACTAAATATGCTCTGTGTATGCTGTTGGTGAGACTGTGTGCAACTATACTGTTTTATGTACAGTTGAGTTCAAAATAAGAGCAGTGTGTTGAAAAAAGTGAATAAAGCTCAAAATCCGTCGAATAGCTTTTATTTCCATACACACAAATGCATTGGGAACACTACACATTCTATTCCAAATCAAAACATGAAGAAAAACATATCAAATTTGTGTTGTTCCTCTAAAAAAAATGAAGAAAAGTGAATATTAGACTGTTCAAAAAAAAATAGCAGTGTTTGTATTCTTCTTTACAAACTCAAACATTCACTATATAAACTGAAAAATGTTTGAAGATTTTGCTTTCCTTTGAATCACTTAATTAATATTTAGTTGTATAAGCACTGTTTCTGAGAACTGCTGTTACATCTGTGTTGCATGGAGTCAACCAACTTCTGGCACCTGTGAACAGGTATTCCAGCCCAGGATGACTGGACTACATTCCACAGTTCTTCTCTATTTCTTGGTTTTGCCTCAGAAACTGCATTTTTGATGTCACCCCACAAGTTTTCTATTGGATTAAGATCCGGGGATTGGGCTGGCCACTCCATAACGGCAATCTTGTTGGTCTGGAACCAAGATGTTGCACGTTTACTGGTGTGTTTGGGGTCATTGTCTTGTTGGAACACCTATTTCAAGGGCATTTCCTCTTCAGCATAAGGCAGCATGACCTCTTCAAGTATTCTGATGTATTCAAACTGATCCATGATCCCTGGTATGCAATAAATAGACCCAACACCGTAGTATGAGAAACATCCCCATATCATGATGCTTGCGCAACCATGCTTCACTGTCTTCACAGTGTACTGTGGCTTGAATTCGGTGTTTGGGGGTCGTCTAACAAACGGTCTCTGGCCACTAGACCCAAAAAGAACAATCTTACTTTCATCAGTCCACAAAATGTTGCGCCATTTCTCTTTAGGCCAGTCAATGTGCTCTTTGGCAAATTGTAACCTCTTCAGCACGTCTTTTTTTCACCAGTGGGACTTTGCAGGGGCTTCTTGCAGATAGCTTGGCTTCACATAGGCTTCTTCTAATTGTAACAGTACTCACAGGTAACTTTACACCTTCTTTGATCTTCCTGGAGCTGATTGTTGGCTGAGTCCTTGCCATTTTGGCTATTCTTCTGTCCATTCGAATGGTAGTTTTTCTCTTTCTGCCACGTCTTTCAGGTTTTGGTTGCCATTTTAAAGCATTTGCAATCATTTTAGCTGAGCAGCCTATCATTTTCTGCACTTCTTTATATGTTTTTCCCTCTCCAATCAACTTTTTAATCAAGGTACGCTGTTCTTCTGAACAATGTCTGGAACAACCCATTTTCCTCAGAATTTCAGAGAGAAATGCACTGTAACCAGCATGTACAACATTTTTGCTGCCTTCCTTCCTTAAAATAAGGGCAATAATTGCCACCTGGTTTTCAAAGAAGGAATGACCTCACTAATAGAACACCACACTGCTATTATTTTGAACATGCCCCTTTCAAATAGTGATTCAATTACACAGAATCAGCAGCATGCATGTCATGACTGTTGGGTCTGTTGGATTTCTATTACTCTACTACACCTGCTAGTAAATTATTTGCCATGTAGAAATATCATTTCTACCAAAAACAGTGATTGATCAGGTTAGTGATGTCTGACTGCTATTATTTTGAACACAACTGTATTTTCAATTCTACCCTTGAAAAGACCCTCTCCCCCTTTTTTAGCCCTAAAAATGTCCACAAGGTTTGCCCTTATACACTTCAACTGAATTTGCCTCTAAAGCCGGCCATAGATGGATCGAATATCAATCAGTTCACTGACCGACTTGGGTACAACCAGAGATGTTGGATTCTTAGGTTGCAATTGCCAGCAGCTATAGCCACTAACAATTATCATTGTTTTTTCCCCAGCAGGGACATGGCCATGCGCCCTGTTCCCCCTGCCCTCCCGGAATCGAGTGATTTTCTTTCCTGAAAATTGAATCATCGATGGCCTGCGTTAGTTCAGGTTCACTGAACGTTGAACATATTTGCTGAATGCTTGGCGAATTGAAAACAGGCAGGATCCACAGAGCCACAGAACCTCTTTTATAAATGAAAACATTGAAGATCCTATATAATAAATACATTATGCAAAAATAAAACACTAAAATTATAAAACTGTTTGCTATGGTCTGGCTTACCTCGAATAGCATTGTGGAAATTATCAATGACCACTGGTTCATATCCAGCTTCAAGCAGTTCAAGGACACAGTGGCTACCTATATAGCCAGCACCTCCAGTCACCAACACCTTTCCAGCCATTGTACTACCTGTCTAGAAACACAAGAGAGAAAAATAGAAAATGTTTTATAAAAGGGAGAAACACACTGAATATATTAACTGACTCAAGATGCTGGCAGTAGAACCTTAATTAAAAACATGAATCTAGCCGTTGGCTCCTGCACAGCCATTAAAAGCACAACGAAGTAGTGTTGCTTGAAGTAACTTTTACGTAGATGTTTGACCAAAGGAAAATCATGCCACATGGAGGAAAAAAAAGAAACTCACAGAAACTTGGCTGACTGAAACAGCACGCACACCCTGGCTAAGTTACTTCCAAAATGAATCACCTATGCATTATATCCAGCCATAAATCCAGTGCTTCCAGAATATTAATCACTATGAAATGAAAAAATAAATAAGAAGCATGACAGATAGAGCAGCAAAAGAAGGAAAATGGTGGCGTGCAATCCTAATTCATTATTATTATTATACAGGATTTCTATAGTGCCAACAGTTTGCTCAGAGCTTTAAAATATAACGGGATACAATACAGCAACAATACAGTTCAATACAAGAGGGAAAGGAGGGCCCTGCTCCTTGGAGCTTACAATCTAGGAGATTCATAAATGCACTTAACCGTTACAAGATAGTGATGGGGGGCATATCCCTACTATGCTGCTTGTTAGCTCGAAGGGAACAGTGTGATGTTAAATCAACAGATTAATTGTAAAAAATCACTGATTATCGGTATCACATAATATCTACAAATACCCAACCAAAAACATGGCTATTAGCAATTTAAGGTGGCTATACACTATACAAATTGAATGTACATTCTTTGTTAGCTCTTCAGTCAACAGTCAAAGGCCCTGTCTTCATTAAATGGCTTGTTTAGGTGTGTCCCCTTATTACACAGTTTTGGCAAATCTAAAGGAGATTGTACAATCAGATTGTATAGTCTATGGTCATCTTTAACCACTTGCCGACCGCAGATAGCCGAATGCTGGCTTCACTGCGGGCCGAACAGTTCTGGGAGGGCATCATATAGGATGTCCTCCCTGAACGTGTCCTCCCCTGCCCGTGCCACCTGGTGATCCTACAGACACAGCTGATCACGTAATGTGGTAAAAGGCCAATCGCAGTGGCCTTTTACCACGTGATCAGCCGTGTCCAATGACACGCTGATCACCAGGAAATGCAGTTGCCGGTTATCGGCTGCACTTTCCTCATGCTGTCACAGTGTGAGGAAAGTACTGTCGATAACCAGCAATTGTCAGAGGTGGGATCGGCACCGATCATCAGTGCCCAGCAGTACCACCCACCAGTGCCGCGCACAAGTGCCCAGCAGTGCCACCCATCAGTGCCCAGCAGTGCTGCCAGTAAGTGCCACCCATCAGTGCCACCTATTAGTGCCTATCATTGCTGCATATCAGTGCCAGCTCATCAGTGCACCTATCAGTGCCACCTATGAGTGCCCATCATTTTTGCATATCAGTGCCAGCTCATCAATGCCACCTATCAGTGTCCATCATTGTTGCATATCAGTGCAGCCTATCAGTGCCTCGATCAGTGCCCCTATCAGTGCCAGTGCCGATCAGTGCTGCCCATCATTATTGCATATCAGTGCCAGCTCATCAGTGCTGCCCAGTGCTGCCCATCAGTGCCAGCTCATCAGTGCTGCCTATCAGTGCTCATCAGTGCTGCCTCATCATAGCACATCAGTGAAGGCGAAAAATTACAGTTTGCTATTTTTTTTAAATAGAAACAAAGAAAAAAAACTTTTTATTTTTTTAATTTTTGCTCTTTTCTTGTTTATAGCACAAAAAATAAAACACCCAGCAGCGAGTAAATACCACCAAAAGAAAGCTCTATTTGTGTGAAAAAATTAAAAGTTCATATAGGTACAGTGTTGCATGACCGCACATTTGTCATTCAACGTGTGACAGCAATGAAAGCTGAAAATTGGCCTGAACATGAAGGGGGTATAAGTGCCTGGTAGGCAAGTGGTTAAACAATACACCTACAACACCTTGACAGCATTAGACCACATGAGGATATACAGGTTACACAGGTGGAAGATGAACGTCATTAACAAATACAGGCATGGTGTGGACCCACCCACTTAATAGACAATTCGTATTATCAATACTGAAACATTATCTCAAAGTTCATAGGGTGGAGCAATGCCACTGACTACTGTATTTGCATACCTGGAGACATCACTTCTTTCCTGCATGTTAATGGTGTTCAGCAATGCTGAGTCAGCATTGTCTTTTTGCCCGGGATTCAAAGAAAAAACCCACAGGCAACCTCAAAAGAAATACAGGCTGCTCTGGAAAAAGATGGTGTGGTTGTTTTTCAGAAGTACAATACGGTGATACGTGAACAAAAATGAGCTGTTTGGTCGAGGTGCCAGGAAGAAGCTTTTACTGCACCAATGCCACAAAAAAGCCCAGTTACAATATGCCTGACAACACCTTGACATGCATAACCAGGCCTTCTTGTGTCATTGATTCAATAAAGGCTTCTTTCTGGCACCTCCACCATGCAGCTCATTTATGTTCATGTCATCATATTGTGCTCCTTCAAAACAAACACACTGTCTTTTTCCAGAGCAGCCTGTATTTTTCTTGTGGTTACCTGTGGGTTTCCCTTTGTATCCCGGACAATTCTTCTGTCAGTTATAGCTGCAATCTTTCTGGGTCTACCTGACCTTGGCTTGGTATCAAGAGATCCCCGAACTTTCCACTTCTTAATAGGTGATTTAACAGTACTGATTGGCATATTCAAGGCTTTGGACATCTTTTTATGTCCTTTCCATCTTTATAAAGTTCCATTACCTTGTTACGCAGGACTTTTGACAGTTTTTTCTGATCCCCATGGCTCAGTATCTAGCCTAGTCAGTGCTTCCACGTAAGAGCTAACAAACTCATTAACTATTTATACACTGACAATAATTGCAATTTAAAAAGCCACAGATGTGGGCCATTAACCTCTAATTGGCATTTTAACCCGTGTGTGTCACTTTGTGTGTCTGTACCAAGGCCAAACATTCCAGGGAAGGGAAACTTTTGATAACGGCCATTTGGGTGATTTCTGTTATCATTGATTTAAAAAGGAGCCAAACAACTATTTGATAATAAATGGCTTCATATGATCATCATCCTTCAATAAAAGAGCATTTTTTGGCATGATTAGTCATATTTTCAATATCAATGCCAAAATTTCACAATTTCTGCTGGGGTATGCAAACTTTTGAGCACAACTGTATATATATATATATAGTACATTCACATCAGTCCCTAACCCTCAAGAGGTGTACAATCTAAGGTCCGTAACTAATATTCATACACATACTAGGGACAATTTAGACAGGATCTAATTAACCTACCAGCATGTCTATGGAGTGTGGGAGGAAACCGGAGTATCCGGAGGAACCCCGCACAGGCACAGGGAGAACATGCAAATTCCAGGCAGGTGGTGCTATGGTTGGGATTTGAATCCAACGACCCTAGTACTGCCAGGCAGACGTGGTGACCATTTAGCCACTGTGCTGCCCCATTACATAGGTAGATCTAAAGGAGATTGCACAATCAGATTGTATGGTGTATGATCAGTATAGGGTGCAGCATCCAATGTTAGGCACAACTCTAGAAGAAGTATCCTCACAGGTGTAGCAAGCTTCTGGATTAGACTGTTAGCTCTTTGGTCCAGGGATGTCGTGTACATGGCTCAGAGAGCGGTCCCTTCGGTGTGCCCTGCTCTGACCCTTCTGTGTACTTGGATTAGAGAATATTAATAATAAAGGTTCAGAATCGGTTCCCCCGTGTACTATACAAGTAATGAATGGAAGTTTCCTGCCACAGCAATCCTCTCCCTGTACTCCTTACAAATCACTCTCTATGGATCTGGTCGTCATTGCGGAGCTTTTCATCATCCTGCCTCCGAGTACCTGGAATAGAGTGTCAGCTCTTCTAGCCGGCTCACCTGTGTGTCAGCTCTGCGCATCAACCTCCAGTCTGCCACTCGCTGGACTCTGAAGGCTCGGATCTGTGCAGTCTCTTCTCTTCCCGGGGAGGCTGAACGTCGATTGGCTGCTTTTCAGACAATGGGCGGGGATATGCATATGCATATATTATGAGTAAGAACAAAACGATGCTTTCTCAGAGCGAGTCCTGGATAAAGCCACGCCTACTCACCGGCCTCCCCGCCTTCCATTCATTCCGTCTGGCTACGTGGAAGATACACGTTCCTAGGCATCGTCATCCGGTTGCGTACTTCTATATCCTGATAGAGGAGTACACAGCACAGCCACGCCTTTCCTTGTCATGTGATCTATACGTACACTGTGCGTCAGTGTTGGTCTGCTCTCTTCATGTTGGACAGGGGTGTTAAACTGGCTGCCCTCCAGCTGTTGTGAAACTACAAGTCCCATCATGCCTCAGCTTTTGGGAGTCATGCTTGTAACTGTCAGTCTTGCAATGCTTCATGGGACTTGTAGTTTGCCAACACCTGGAGGGCCTCCAGTTTGACACCTGTGATGTATGGGGACATCAGTGGGATCACGTCATGAATATGTGGCTGCCAAATATTGTCCTAGGTCAGGTGATTTGTCACAGGAGAATGTCAAAGATTGTAGGCAGGTTTGCAGAAGATGGTGGGATGCAGCAGATATGCTATAAAAGTAGTTGGAGACAGTCAGAGGCCGATCATATACTAAACAATCTGGTTGTACATCCTCTAGATCAGGGGTAGGCAACCTGCGGCTCTCCAGCACTACAAGTTCCATCATGCCTCTTTGACTGTAAATTTTGCAATGTCTCATGGGAAATGCAGTTCCACAACAGCTAGAGAGCCGCATGTTGCCTACCCCTGCTCTAGATTTATCATCAGCTACAGTGCCTTGAAAAAGTATTCATACCCCTTGAAATTTCCCTTATTTTGTCATGTTACAACAAGAAGCGTAAATGTATTCTATTGGGATTTTATGTGATAGACCAACACAAAGTGAAACATAATTATGAAGTGGAAGCAAAATGATCAATGGTTTTTAAAATGTTTTGCAAATACAGTGGGGATCGAAAGTTTGGGCACCCCAGCTAAAAATTTGTATTAATGTACATAAAGAAGTCAAGGAAAGATGGAAAAATCTCCAAAAGGCATCAAATTACAGATTAGACATTCTTATAATATGTCAACAAAAGTTAGATTTTATTTCCATCATTTACACTTTCAAAATAACCGAAAACAAAAAAATGGCGTCTGCAAAAGTTTGGGCACCCTGCAGAGTTAATATCTTGTACTGCCCCCTTTGGCAAGTATCACAGCTTGTAAACGCTTTTTGTAGCCAGCCAAGAGTCTTTCAATTCTTGTTTGAGGTATCTTTGCCCATTCTTCCTTACAAAAGTCTTCCAGTTCTTTGAGATTTCTGGGCTGTCTGTCACGCACTGCTCTTTTAAGGTCTATCCATAGATTTTCAATTATGTTGAGGTCAGGAAATTGTGAAGGCCATAGCAAAACCTTCAGTTTACGCCTCTTGATGTAATCCCCCGTGGATTTCGAGGTGTGTTTAGGATCATTATCCATTTGTAGAAGCCATCCTCTCTTTAACTTCAGCTTTTTCACAGACAACATCAAGTTACCATCCAAAATTTGCTGAAATTTTATTGAATCCATTTTTCCTTCTACTCGTGAGATGTTCCCTGTGCCACTGGCTGCAACACAACCCCAAAGCATGATTGATCCAACCCCATGCTTAACAGTTGGACAGAGGTTCTTTTCATTAAGTTCTGTACCCCTTCTTCTCCAAACATACCTTTGCTCATTCCGGCCAAAAAGTTCAATTGTAACCTCATCGGTCCACAGAACTTGTTTCCCAAAATGCATCAGGCTTGTCTATATGTTCATTTGCAAAGTTCAAACGATGATTTTTGTGGTGAGGACGTTGAAGAGGTTTTCTTCTGATGACTCTTCCATGAAGACCATATTTGTACAAGTATCTCTCTATAGTGGAATAGTGTACCACAACTCCAGTGTCTGCCAGATCTTTCTGGAGGGATCGTGCAGTCAAACGTGGGTTTTGAATTGTTTTTCTCACAATCCTGCGAGCTGTTCTGTCTGATATTTTTCTTGGTCTTCCAGATCTTGCTTTAACTTCCACTGTTCCTGATGACTGCCATTTCTTAATTACATTCCGAACAGAGGATATTGACATCTGAAAACGCTTTGCTATCTTCTTATAGCCTTCTCCAGCTTTGTGAGCATCAACTATTTTCAGTTTCAGTTTTCTAGACAACTGCTTAGAAGAACCCATGGTGCTGATTGTTGGGGCAAGGTCAGATGAGTCTGGGCATTTAAAACCTTTGAGCTTGACATCACCTGGTCTTCCCTGACGATGATTGAGAACAATCCATGACACTGGCAGGTCTCAGCTTTGCAAAGGGGGCAGTGCATGCTATAAATTCTGCAGGGTGCCCAAACTTTTGCAGACGCCATTTTTTTGTTTTCTGTTATTTTGAAAGTGTAAATGATGGAAATAAAATCTAACTTTTGTTGACATATTATAAGAATGTCTAATCTGTAATTTGATGCCTTTTGGAGATTTTTCCATCTTTCCTTGGCTTCTTTATGCACATTAATACAAATTTTTAGCTGGGGTGCCCAAACTTTCGATCCCCACTGTAAATATCTGAAAAGTGTGGCGTGCATTTGTATTCAGCCCCCTTAACTCTGATACCTGTAACTAAAATCTAGTGGAGCCAATTGCCTTCAGAAGACACCTAATTAGTAAATAGAGTCCACCTGTGTGTAATTTAATCTTAGTATAAATACAGGTGTTCTATGAAGCCCTCAGAGGTTTGTTACAGAACATTAGTGAACAAACAGCATTATGAAGGCCAAGGAATACATCAGACAGGTCAGGGATAAAGTTGTGTATACATTTAAAGCAGATTTAGGTTATAAAACAATATCCCTAGCTTTGAACATCTCTTGGAGCACTGTTCAATCCATCATCCCGAAATGGAAAGAGTATGCACAACTGCAAGCGTACCAAGACATGGCCATCCACCTAAATTGACAGGCCGGGCAAGGAGAACATTAATCAGAGAAGCAGCCAAGAGGCCCATGGTAACCCTGGAGGAGCTGCAGAGATCCACAGCTCAGGTGGGAGAATCTGTCCACAGGGCAACTATTAGTCATGCACTCCACAAATCTGCCCTTTATGGAAGAGTGACAAGAAGAAAGCCATTGTTGAAAGAAAGCCATAAGAAGTCCTGTTTGCAGTTTGTGAGAAGCCATGTGGGGGACACAGCTAACGTGGAAGAAGGTGCTCTGGTCAGATGAGACCAAAATTGAACTTTTTGGCCTGAAAGCATAACACTATGTGTGGTGGAAAACTAACACTGCACATCACCCTGAACACACCATTCCCACCGTGAAACATGGTTGTGGCAGCATCATGTTGTCGGATGCTTTTCTTCAGCAGGGACAAGGAAGCTGGTCAGAGTTGATGGGAAGATGGATGGAGCCAAATACAGGGCAATTATAGAAGAAAACCTGTTAAGAGTCTGCAAAAGACTTTAGATTTGGGGCTGAGGTTCACCTTCCAGCAGGACAATGACCCTAAACATACAGCCAGAGCTACAATGGAATGATTTAGACCAAGGTATACTCATGCGTTAGAATGGCCCAGTCAAAGTCCAGACCTAAATCCAGCTGAGAATCTGTGGCAAGACTTGAAAATTGCTAATCACAGATGCTCTCCATCCAATCTGACAGCTTGAGATATTCTGCAAAGAAGAATGGGCAAAAATGTCACTCTCTAGATGTGCAAAGCTGGTAGAGACATCCCCAAAAAGACTTGCAGCTGTAATTGCAGCGTAAGGTGGTTCTACAAAGTATTGACTCAGGGGGGCTGACTACAAATGCACACCACACTTTTCACACATATATTTGTAAAAAAATGTTGAAAACCATTAATCATTTTCCTTCCACTTCACAATTATGTGCCACTTTGTGTTGGTCCAGCTCCACCCAAAATGTTCCGTTCTTTCCTGTATGTCACATGACATAGAGCATATTATTCCCTAGGCATAGGGTTATGTGCCATCTGCAGGTAACTGGACACTGGCAATAAAAGACAGGAAGTCTTCTCCTATATAACATCTACTATGCAGGAAGTATCTCAGGTTTTTTGGCAGGGTCTGAGTGTAAGGGGCACAAAGATGGCCACATCAGATTTTCTTAAGGTTCCAGGATGGATCAGGAGACTGGTGCTATCCGGATCTATTCCTACAGCTAATATCTCTCAGTAGTATAGTACCCAGACCCCACACCGATTGGAGACAATGAGATGTGGGGATTGCCTATAATGCAGCCACTCAGTGTTGGGCTATGCGTATACGGAACCCTGCGTAGTAGTAACTGACAAGGAGTTTTAGGAAGGGTACTGTCATGTATCTGATAGAAGTCTGAATTGACCAGGTCAGCCTCACTTGTATCTCCAACCCAGGCCCCACTGAAAGTGGAACAGATGGTGCCGAGGGACAGGAGAAACACAAATGCCTGTGGGTATTGATTGCAGAACTTGCGGCTAGAGGTGTAACCTCAGTAAATCAAGTTGGACATCTAGTCAGGAACAGAGGAGATGCTGGAACGGCCAGCTGAGGTTAAGGAAGCACTCCACTGGAACTGCAAGATCTGGGTACATGGCTTGCCAGAACTTCTGATAAGCGTGAGGCCGGAACACACCGTGACAATCGGAACTGATATAATAGATAGCCAGGACAAGCACTCAGAAGGACTGTAGTGCCAAACTGGAGCCGAAAGCATAGTCAGAGTAATAGCCAGGGTCAGTAACGAGCAGGCGATGATGTACCGGAACATCAGACAGAGACGAGGTCAGGAGGAAGCCAGGATCAGAAACCAATGAGCAGAAGCATAAAGAGAATCCAAGAGCAGATCAATGGCAAGCCATGTCGGTAACGGATACACACAAGTATGGTGTA